TTTGGCAAGACCAGGAGTGCTTGAAGAAAAAACAATGTTAACTTCTACAGCATCAATAGAAATTCATGGTCATGTATGTATGAATAAAATTCAGAAATTCTATCAACTTTTTGTAAAATAATTGCTTTACATTTTCACAGTTCTAAATAATTATGGTTTCCAGACTCTTTCCTAGATAGGAAATTCTGTTAGAATAATAATTACATAGCGAGTCTTTTTACTAAATTTCCTTTGAATAACTTATTGTTTTAAAATCTATTGGTCAAATTTTCTTCCCTTATTTCAAAAGACCACCAAATAAAATTTGAGCAAAATGTTTATGCTGCTTCTTGGAAGTTTCTGTCTATATGTAACTGGAAACTTCTGGACAACCTCAATTATCCAAAAACATTTGTACAGAGTCAACACAGTAAAACAGGAAATTTTTTTGATACAAAATTCCAATAGGGAAAGTGCCAAAATTCAATAGGCAATATAATTTCATGTTTATTGCAACAGGGTACAGGATATGCAGATCACTGTGAGCCACGCTGAAAGTTTTAAAATTTATGATTAAGTAAATGTGTCTGGTCCTTCAAAATAAGACGACCAGATATGTTTTCACTTTGACCATGACACCACGTCACCAAATGATGTCCAGCGAATCCTTACTAACATGTTAATATAGGACCAGAGACAAATGGACCTTTTATAGATGAGAAGAAAGGAGGATGGATAAACATCTCATTCTCTTCTAGTCTCACAAGGAAGAATGGCTCACACAGACTGCAGGCCACAACACACGCATCTGACATCATTCTCAACTTCACAACAATTCCCTACAAAGGCAAGTGAAGCTGTAGGAAAAACACTTCAACTTTCACTCAAATTGAATGAAACAAGAAATAAAGGGTTCCTAAAAATCTGCCCTTCTTCCAAGGGAAAGCACACAACAAAAATATTCCCTCAGCCCCAATAACAGCCTAAGTAAACTATGGTTGTGCAGAGCAAAGGCAGGAGGAAGGACAACTGTGCAGTCTACATGAAAGGGGATCAGAAGAAAAGGGGAAAGGAATGTCAAAAGAAGAGATACTGATGAGTGATAGAGTGATATACAGGGGAGTAGCAAAGAATTCTATCATCACCTCTGCCACAATTGTCTCCTATGGTCTTGGGAAAAAATTCTTAAAACTCTCCTAGGTCTCCATCTGCAGAACACTGCTGTTTCCTGGTTTGACACAGATACTGCCAAGTGCTCAGTCACAAAATTCCTACAGAAAGATATGCACTTCCACTGAATAGCACACAACTCTTTTTAATGTCTCATTTATAACAGTTTGAACGAACCGCTTTAAATGAGACACAGGGCTGCAAATGAGCAATGAATATAAACTGAAGTATTAAATGACTGCTTCCTTTACTAAGTTCTGTCATCCCTGTGCAATGAATGAAGCAGGGATCCTGTGGAAAAAAGTAGAATGTAAATCTGTAATTAAATACATATGCATAACAGGGAAAAAAATTAAGGAGCATGAAGAATATTAATTTGGGCATTTCCTAATTCCTTACTGCTTCATTTTACAGTTACAAATTAGTCACTGTCCTCCCACTCCTTACAGAGAGAAAATTCATTTCAAAAATAGGTATTCTGAAATGTTGAATAATTTTGAGGAGAAACAGGACACATCATCGAGTAACTTCAACAGTAAATGAGACAGAAACCTCATATGTTATGCTATATGCATCCTTTCTTATGCACATATATTGACCCTGTTTTACAAGCCTCTGTACATCTATCAGGACTGAAATACCATACAAACTGCACATGCATCAATCCAATCGAGTAATGAGAATCATCTATTCAGCAGAAGCTTCCATTCAGACTAAATGCTTTCATTCTCTAAGCCAATGAAATATTGGAGGTCTGTTAGTTTAACCGTGCAACATATCCCATTCACAAAATGAAACTGCAAAAACCCCCAAAGTTTCACTGAAGCAGACTGGCAATCAAGGAGATCCTTCCTTTGAAATACCAAGCTTTCATCACCTTCAACTGAAATTCCAGAGCTCTTAATGAGAACAGCCAAAATCTCAGCTACCTGAAAAGCTACATTTCCCCCAATCTGTTTCTTGTTGTGTTTTTTCTTTTTTTTTTTTTCCTTTTTTTAATGGCTTATCCATATCTAATAAAATTTTCAGGAAACAGAATTTGTTCCTTGTCTGGAGTCACTGGTACCAAGTTTCACCTAAAATGACAAACTGAGCAGATTTTAAGAATCTGAAAGAACACACAGAAAAACTTGAGTAGCTTTAGTACAGGCACTGCAACTTATTCTCTCTGAAAATAAAAAGTGTTTACAAAGTTCAGCTCAAAGTTTAAAACATACACAGAAAATTTTACTCTGGTTCATTATTAGAAAGAACGGATTATTAAGAACAAAGCAAAGCGAAGGCTAACTGCAATCTGTCATCAGAGAATCTAAATTCAGTCTTGTGTACTAGAATGCTGCTCCTGCTACAGAAATACATTTGTATCTAACAACCTAAAGCAGTTTCCTAATCTCCCCACTCATAGTAGGTATCTATTATTAGTAATAGGAGTTAGTTTTCCAAATAGGGCATGTGAATTTATCTTTTCTGGCTTTAGGAAGAACAAATACTTTAAAAAAATATACTGAGAAAGTGCTGTTTGCTGCTTTAAGTATGTATTTTCTGACATGACATTCTGTTTCATGGCTGCACTTTTTAAATGTCAAATGATCAGAGTAAGAATTTCCATGCATTTTGGATAAACAGTAAGTAAACAAGTTTAGAAGAGGGACTTAAAAGCAAAAAGCACAAGCAAAACGTAGTATGTTAAAAATGTAACAAAAATAAATGATCTCAGAAGACCCAAGTTACTTCTGCTTTATGTATGAGGAGACATCTCTATCAGGACAAGCCTAAGCTAGTGAGAGGCACTAGTTAGAGAACAGATATAAAAATTATTTCAGTAGTATATATTTTAAAACGTGATTCAAAAGCACCTGAAAACTGCGAACAGTGAAAGAACTCAATCTACAGGTGTAGGATCTCTCCTCTCTGGCTATTAAGAAGTTAAATTCACTCAGCATTTTTATTTTTAACTGCAGAACCTTGAAGTCACAGTTCAGACCTCTTTCTTATTCCTCTTCTGTAACAATGACAATACTTAGAGATGTGGTGAATGCTTTTGGTCTTTTAAAGGTAATAGGGAAAATAGCTAGCCACAGGCAGGTTAAAAATCCCTACACATGTGTAACAACTTGGTTTTATACATTTTTTAAACATAACGCTCCCCTATCTTTCCATCAGATATTATTACGAGCTGCTTTTTTTGAGTATTTCTAGCAGCCTATTGTATACAGTGCATCATGAGCTGCATGGCCTGAGGCCAGGAAGGAAGGTGTGGAACACGTCTTCACAGGTCGATTTCCACTCTCCAAGTTTTCAAGTATTTGAGAGAAGGTCATGTTACAGCACAGATTTACATAGCAGACAAATTACATGACTGCCTGTTCTAGCATTTCATAATTTCACTAAAAAAATTAGGTCAAATGAAGGGGGGGAGAATAACCCTATCCTTTCACAGTAGTCAGAAAATTAAACAATAAACTTACTTAGCTGTGGTGCTTGCCAAAACATCAGTAAAAATCTGTACTGACAGTAAACACAAGTTTAAAGTATTTGATTTACCATTCCTTTGCAAAATCCTTTTCTTTCTTAATGCCTTAAAACAACCAAAACCAAACACCAAAATGTGTTGCATTGCTCTTTTAAAACACTGTTTCAATTATCACGTATTTTTACAAACATGCATATTATCAAGGAACATGTTAATAATTTTAAGAGCTTTCACCCACAGCCTGATAGTCTAGTAGGAGCGTTAAGAGAGGGAACTGCTCTTTGTATCGTCTGTCTGGATGTGAAGAAGAATAATTTGGAATAGCTTTTTCCCCCCTCAGAGTCTGAAAAATAGTGCACTTTAAAAAGGGCAGCATTGGCCAGCCTCTGCGCTGCCTGACATTATGTTTATACTAGACGGAGACTAAAGTTACAATGTTCATATCTGGCATTCTTTAAGTACAAATTGGCAAAATAATTAATTTTTCAAGTTTTGGGTGTTTTTTCAGAAAATGATACTATGATATTTTCAGGATAATAGCAAAATACTTTCCAAGTGCAGTTAAGAATATCATAATGCGAAACAACAATTTTAAAAGTGTTTAGGTATGTACCCATATATCTGTATTCCTCTTTGCTTACAAGACTGATACTTGTATATAAATTCCTACCAACGTCATATAGCGTACAGTTAAAATATGCTAATCATTACCCTAGATAGCTTTCAGGATTTGTTTCAACACAGTCAAGCAGTCGTAGGGTTTAGACTGGCATACTGCTGATACTCTCACTGAGCAAGCAGAAAGAATAAACGTTAACAGAGAGATGACTGGCTTCGATAACTTCAACTGGACTTAACATTATTTCAGTTTCTAAAAATGGCAAATATGAAATCTGTTTTACTCTCAGCAGTAAGAAGTTTTAAGCTGATGTATTTTTAAAAAGGATTGTAGGTTTAAGGAACTACTGAACAATTTCTTTCAAGACAGATTCACTGTGTTAGCTAGATTTCATGTGCATTTGATACCTATTCAACAAGCAAAAAGAGGAAACAGAACTTTTTGTGGACATTTTCTCTATTTACCAACACAAACTCTGAGGGATGAATTTTACCAAAAGCTTCAGTTTCGCATATTGTAGCCCTGCAGCTGAAAATTCAGATGAAAAATATGGGAGTTTTTTTCTATGACACAAAGGAACTTCTGGGAACATTTCCGAAGGATACCAGAAAGCTTGTCTAACACACAATGGTTCCTACTCAGCACAGCCCTCCAAACAAAGAGTAACAGATGCACAACTGGTATTAATAACAAAACATCTCCTCCCTCTGTTAGTCAAGAGAGGACAGCTAAGGACAAATACAGTTTCAGGGTACTTACCTACTCGGAAGTTTGTGGCTGTCAGAGTGTCAGCAGCATGGCCATTTTCACTAATGAGGGTGGTGGTATTTCCCTTCTCACAGTTGTTTTGACAGTTGCCTTTGGTACAAGTCACTTTACAGATGCTGGGTGTAAAGACCACCTTGATGCGACCAGTGTGATTTCCCACTGTCAGCGGAGGCAAAGAAAAAAAGAAAAATAAACAGATCACTTTGGTATCCATTGATTTCCTTTAAAAAATTTTTGGGGAAAAAAAAAAAAAAAAAAAGGGGGGGGGGGGGGGGGAGAAAAAGGCGACAGGTCTACAGGAGGAGGGCAGTCTGCAGTGCTCTCTCTCATAGATCTCCAGTGGTGTCTCTGAAACAGGAGTAGGAAGCTTAGCAAACAGAACTCCGGGATCCGCTCCAAAACCACATTTAAAGTCAAGTCACTGGAGTGGGATTAGTAATCACAATGCTGCACTTTATTCACAGACAGACAAAGAGCAATACCAAGGGCATGACAGCTTAAATAGCCAACCCTGACAGGCAGATGTAATGTAAAGAGGCTGGCTGTGCACCTAGGGGTGAATAAACTCTTGTGTCCTCCTGCATACTTTTCCTGTTTCTGCACTTATTAAGTCACTATTTGTAGCTCGACCCCTGGAAATGTTTTAAGCATGCCGCATGTCTGAAAACATCTGTCTCAAATCTCCTGGCACCCCAGCCCAAAGTGGTCAAACCTTGTGACGCAGCTGCCTGGACCCATTTTTTCACAGTTTTTTGGCACTATTTTTCCACAAGGATTTACATATTATAGACCGAGCTTTGCTGTCAGCTTTTGTTTGCGTAATAAATAGCTCAGAGAAAAGGGTAAGTAGCAATGCTTGAAAATACTGGTTCTGAGCTCAAAGATAAAAAATAGCTAGATTCTCTTCTTTTATATGCCTCCTTACAGTCTTCTTAAAAACTTGAATGTAATGAAGAATGAGCAAACACTAAATTTGAAATTAAGCTAATTAGAAGAACTTCTTGTTACAGAATTTGATTTAAAAACAGATGTATTTGATTCCTCATCCAGCAGCTGAAGAAAAAAAAAAAAGATTAAAACTACTCTTCAGGAAAATTAGGGAAAAAGAACAGATTCCATTCGCAATTATTTAAAAAGAAAACAGTTTGCCCTCCACACACTTACTAAGAAATTCAGCAAGCTCTTGTAAATATATCACAGCATCTTTGTGGAAACTATTAATAAACACTTTCAGATCAAACCTAACAATCCCAAGAAATGACGCACAGAAAGAGAAAAGTCTCCTCCTTCCTCATGTCATAGAAATAAAAAGTTGCTGGATAGTTGTCTAACCTAGTTTATGAAATACCCTCTGGACAAACTTTTTTAAAATCTCAAGAAAATGAAGAAAATCTTCCCACTTCAAAAGAATATAAAGCCTGCTTATTTCTGGCTCTTCATAAACAAATAAATTAAAACAATTGTGCCAACTGTTTTGTCTACAGTAAAGGAAAGGCATTGCTCGATTTGAACAGCAGCTGTAGTACAGATGCTCCCACCTTATTCTCCCTAAACAATACTTAAAAGCAGCACAGCCCAGACAGACATGCAAATAAAATATTTCAATTAAAGGCTAGCATAGTGATTTAGTTGATTTCGAAGACACCCCGGATTCTTGGATGCCAAGCACTTCTTAAGAAAATTATTACTATACCTTTCCCAATGAACAGACACAAGCGGTGTGAACGGCTGAGGCTAGAACTTCTAAGCTTTCCTTTTGTTAAGCACAAGCAATACTGCCATCTTTGTATTTATTTGCATAGTTTTATATATATCTTTTCCTAGAAAAGCCCAATCCATTTTATATTTTATATTTTCAGATGTTTTAGTAACATTTTTCCTTTAGGATGTGATCTAATTAAAAAAACATGGTTAGTTGAGTCACAAAAGTCAGTCCTGCCTACACTGTAAAAACCAGTATTGGGGGACCCACACAAGTTTTCCAGCTTAGTTTAAAAAAAAACCTTTGCCAATATAGATGGAACTAAATAATGATTTAAATCTCCTTCATAGTATTCTGCACTATGTTTTTGAGCAAAATTTAGGCACAATGTTTATAACTAAAAAAAAATAAATCATATTTTAAAAATAATTCGTATTACATCGTTCAGATTTTACCAGAAAAATTCTGTAGCATATTTTTTTTTGGTAGAAGAGACACCTTAGTATGAGACTGAATGGAAACTGTAAATTTGCCTCTCACTCCTTTTGGGTAAGAAAATGTTAGCATGTAAGTTTGAGGGTAACAACATCGGAACAGCAGTTGAACCGTACCTTCAAAAAGACAAGCCAGTATCTACAGAGGTAAAGAGTATCCATGAAAGATTATTTAAATGCAGCTTTTCAGGGAAGTAAATAGTCTGAAAACCAACATGATGTAAGCCCTAGCTCCTACAAATATTCAAAACATTATTCAGCAATGCTTTCACTATAAAACAAATTCAATTCTCACGAATATTCCCATTTTACTACTTGCAAAGAGACAGAAATAAGACAGCTTCATATTCTTTTGGCATGGGAAGATTTTCTCCATCTTTCTCAGATTTTCTCCATCTTTCTCAGTTCTATGAAAACTATAATTAAACTATTTTTTTCTTCTTCTTGCCTAGTGGGCCACAGCTTTTAACTTCCTCAGTTCTTTGGAGACATTTGGGAAGGATACAAAGTTAATCATAGAATCGTTTAGGTTGTAAGAGACCTTTAAGATCATCAAGTCCAACCTTTAACCTAACCCTGCCATCCCACCAATAAACCATGTCCATGAGTACCTCGTCTACCCATCTTTTAAATCCCTCCAGGGATGGGGACTTGACCACCTCCCTGGGCAGCCCATTCCAGTGCTTGACAACCCTTTCAGTGAAAAAATTTTTCCTAATGTCCAACCTAAACCTGCCCTGGCCCAACTTCAGGCCATTTCCTGTGAGCTGAAAATTGACCAGTGTATGAGGAGGCGATTCAAGGCAGACACGTTATCTTCATTCTTCTCTGAAGTTGTACCTAAGTAGACAGTCCTATCCTCACACATCCTAAGGCTTAGGGACCTTAACAGCGAGCATAATACATACAGAGTTAAATTGAAAACAGACCGCAAAGCTTTCTCCTGAAAGGAAGCTTTTGGCAGAAACTCTGCAAGGTTAGACTCTTGGACTTCCCTGAATCCTTCCCTTTCTTCTCTTCTATAGGTTTGTTGGGTTTTTTCCCCCTTCTCCAAAGAGGGGATGATTTAATTCTAAATGAGAAACTATATCCTTCAATATCTCTTAGCTGGTTTGGCAGTATTAATCTTAAAACCCGCAAATTCAAGCTAGAAGCAGCCCATTACTGCTGTAGCCTTGACCTCTTTTGGTTTTGGGCTAGTTCATATTCAAGAAGGACAGTGCATTTTTAAGGTAGCATACAGATTATTTTCCTCTTTAAACTCCAGCAGCTTTACTGATGATGCCACTGTGACATAGACATGGCAAGATCTGCAACTTCGATCATCTCAGATTCATTTCTGGAAAAAAAATGATAGTGCTACAGCCCTGCAGCATACCTGGAATTTTTTTTTATATATATATAGAGAGAGAGACACACACACAGAAATGTATCATAAACTCTTCAAACCCAATTTTAAACATGTGGAAATGAAACACCTTACTCTGCTCTGAAGTATAACACCAGACTGAAGAAACACAAATGTGAGAGCAGATAAAGAGATGAGCCTAATGAAAGACAACAAAAGCAGAAGATACAAACACCAAGTAAATAGCAAAGCTACTGAAGAAATGGCAGAACCAGAAATCAACTCAGATAGTTGTTTTAATAAAGATAGAAAAATCAGGATTACGAATACTGGCTAAGGGCTCATCCCTGAGCTAGGCAGCAAATTCACAATGAGAAGGCTCAGCCAACGGTGCCATCATCCTGCCTCATAGTCCAGGCTCCCTTATACTTAAGAACTCTTAGATACATTTGTCAAAGGAGATCAGTGAAAGAACGTACCCATAATTTCCAAAATCTGTAAAACTCTTCTTGAGCCAGATTCAGAAAAGAAAGGTGCCTGGGTAAAATGATGAGATTTTAGTTGAAAATTGGCACTGCATGCATGTGATTTTCTTTCCATCTCTGTAAGAAACTATGATATAATATTATGAACACAGCAAGCTCCTGCTGTGATAAATTTATGATTTAACAACAACTGCAGGAGAAATGGAAAATATAAGCAAAAGGATTTCTTCATAGACTCCCTTCTGCCCCCACCGTCCATCATGACAAACTGATTTCTTTCTCTGCATTAGCAGAAAAGGTGAATGAGTTAAGACAAGGCAGGTTTTAGGTCCAGGTGGTCACAACGGCTCACACAGCCATGCCTGGGCAGAGTTGTATAAGGGGACGGATTCCTCCTCAGCCTCCTGGGTCCCTTTGCCTGTAATGCTACTCGGCCTTCATTTCTTTCTGGAAGAATTTCTATAAACACATTTTTTTCTTGGTTTTATGGCTGCCCACACAGCTCCAGCATTCTGCAAAGATTTAACTAGACAGTATTCAATAGCTGGAGTGGATCTCAGAAGATTTGTGGCATGTCCCTGTTTTGTGGGAAGACAATGGGCTAGCAACACTAGTGAAAGCAGGATTGGTATTCAGTTAAAAAGATGACTACACTGTACTATCTCATAGGTCAAGTGGGGTGAAGAGAAGAAAATATCTTCATGTGTTGAAAAATTATGTTATTGTATGATGGTTTTGTGCTTCACAGTGATCTAATCAAAAGGATTCACAATAAAAATCCCAAGTAGTGGCTTATACTGTGGATTCAACTGGTAGAGCTTACACATACCTTTCCCATAATCCTTGCACAAAACTTCTGTCTGGGTTTGTGCTTTTTTTAATACCTTCACTTATGACAAATATCCTGAGGCAAATCTCCTGAGGAAGCAGAACTAAGCAAGCTGTAGGCTTTCCATTAGTACATCTGAGAACGATATACACTACTCTGTTTTCATGACACCCTACTTCTGCACTAAACTCAGTATGTTTTCATATGTGTTTCTACACAGAATCTCCTCAGACCCAAAGATTCTATCTTAAAATTACATTCTCTTCCCAAAGAAAATAGACTATCTCAAGCAATCTTATGT